GAGCAGGAAGTCACATGCCACTATTGCTGACGGCGACTGTGTATTTTAAATTAAAGAAATAAAGAAATAAGCTCCTTACAGATATCCTTCCAGCACGCTTCAGCCTAACAACCGCGTCGAACGCGCACAAGGCACCCTCAACGTCTTTACACGTAACACGGCTCTCCTGAGCGCTGGTATGCTTTTGCTTCGTTGGAGTTCTGCGAATTATTTCATCAAAAGAATTTCGCAAAGGACCTTACAGCACACTTGGCTATAAATAAAGGTGCATTTTTGTCTATCCGATGATTCACTCAAAAAGACACAATTATAGTACATGTTGGCCTTGGGAGTCTTCCTTAGTATAACATTCAATTGCACAGTCGATATATACCGCTTCCAAAATTTTGCTACTCGACATATGCTTTATTGCCGCGTTTCTGATTCTACGTGATGAGCACAGTGGTCAGCTCATGCCAAGCGAGCTACCCGTTCTAACCATTCCACCTCGAACACTATTCTCACTCTCTGGCACAGCCCGGCTACCATCCCTGGCTCCACCTTGCCGCCAGTCCCTATATCTCAGCACTACGCCTCTTCTAGTCACTTCACCATCCATACTCACGACCACAGCCACCACCACAACATCCCCTGCCACCACCACAACATCCCCTGCCACCACTCCAAAAGTCGTGCTACCCACCCCCATAATACACACATCCCTGTTACTATTGATCACAACAGCCCACAACCTCACCGCCTTCAAGCTAGCTTCTCAGCTACAAGAGATCCCTTTGCATCTCTGCCTTCTTCTCAGGTCACTGATCCCCCGTCTCCAGCGTCTGGTAGGTCCGCATTTCATCCCTTCCCAGCTTCAACTGATGGCAATGCAGCCCAAGCCGTTCAGTATCACGATGCCCTTGATCATCATTTCTCTTCCCTTATTTATACTTGCAATAACAACGGCTCGTGCACCTCTCGTTCTCACTCTTCAGCTTTTGATTATCGTTCATATTGAACATAACCTCGATTGTACATTCACCCGCTGCTCCTGCTTGGTGGTCGTCTTCCTCGGACGTCCATGCTCAATTACATGCTCGCAAGCAGGCTATTGCTGAATATCGCACCTGTCAACGTGTCATTGCATATGATTACGAATTTTGGACTTATCATCATCCATCATTGATGCTTCGCTCTACGTAACCTCATATACCTTCGAGCACGCCGACTTCTACTCCTATTCCTATATCCCAGCTTTGGTCCTTGTATCCACTATTTCCTCCACCCACGGTGATTTTTCCTCTGCTGACAACTGGCTACCAACCGCGTAATATAGAATGGCCTAACTACATTGATGTCAAGTCCGAGCTTCCCCACGCCCCTAGCGCCCAGGCGCATATCACATACGCTCTACCTCCTGGTTTTTATTCCCTCTCCTTCTTCTACTGACGATGGCCCGCCCACCCACGCTGAAAAAGTTCTTGCATCTACTGCTTTTTTTGTTCTTCCGACCTCTTCCTCCGAAGTTACTTTATTTGAAATGGCATCCATGCTCGATGATAGTGTTCTTAAATCCAGTCCTAACAGTCGTGAACCTCCCTAATTTGTCCCTTTGATTTGATGCCTATGCTCGCAACAATCTCGCGGGCGTTATTCAAGCTCACCAAGTCACTACAAGTGCCAAAATCATACACTCTGATGGACACCCCACTATATACAAAGCTCGCATGGTCGCACGAGGTGATGAACAAGAAAATGAGCACTTATACTTTGGCACCTACTCTCCTGCTACTTCTGCCGCTACTCTTCCGCCTCTTCATTGCTGTCGCTGCCGCTTCCGACAAGGTTATCCATCACTTCTTGATACAACCTTCATATATAGTAAACTTGACACGCCAGTATACACATATCCCCAAGGGTGCTATTAACCTCGGTCACTATCCCCCAGGAAGTGTGCTTCGTCTCAAGCGTGGATTATATGAACTTAAACAAGCAACAAGCAGACGGCCTTTGGAACTTCAAGATGTACGCAAACTATTCCAAATGGGGTTTAATGTTTTTATAGATACCTATTTCATTTTATAAATTAGCTATTTGGAGTAAGCCCATTCATTGAAAGGCCAACTAATTCTCTAACGACTTGTATCTGAATACTTCAGTAGCGACATGGCTCAACTGAAAATAGGATTTTAGGGACTATTAGTGATACAAAGTTTATCTCTCGAGCTTTAAACCCTAAACCCTAAACCCTAAAACCTAAAACCCTAAAAACCCTAAAAACCCAGACTACCAGTCTGATGATAGCGCGCTAGTAATTCCTAATGCGTGGCTAGTCATTGGGTAATGTAATGCTTAGAGAATATATACCCTTTTTGCTAAAGATACTATCTTGTTTAGTTTTAAAAACAATAATACATTTTTTTGCCAAGCACGACGACGAAAACATATATAAAACCCTCTCGGCGAATTCAGTATTGAGATGATTGTTTTAAAGCAATATTTCTAATCCCCCAGAGTATTGCTGATTCTTATCAATCGACTACTATCGCAATTGCTTTAAAAAATATGCTTAGACAATAGACACGTTTACGCTTTGAAAATTTTATGTGTCGGCAAACCGACGCTTACATCACTAACGACAATACGACAGTGTACAAAGGAAGGCGTCAACCAAGAAAACGAAGTCAGGGACGTATGTTGGAGGTTTTCAGAAACCTCCACAAACTGCCTCCTTTTCGTAGATTTGCAATCGACTAGAGTGTACCTTCCATCGCGCTTCGATTCGGCCAGCTCCAAGCTAGTAGCCTGGCGAAAAGCCAGAGCCTCGAAATAGATGATAGAATGGATCCATAGTGGAGTAGGGATCCCGTGGGGTCACCGTCGGTATCCATTCGACCGACAAGAAACAGCCGGTTGAATACGACAAGTAGACGAGGGCGAAGACCGTTGCATACACGACTTATTCGATTTAGCAAAATCGAACAACAGAGCCAGAATTATACTCAGGCGCCAAAGTTCAAAATGGAGGGTTTAGAGTTACTCGCGACCACAGCCCACCCTTCCGACATCAGACTTTCGCGACGGCTTTCTTCGCCCTTAAAAGTACCCGAACCCAAATGTGGCAAATGAGAGGACCCAAGAGAGTGAAGAGACAACTATACGAGTATATAATGCTCCCTACGGGAGCCACTTTCAGTCCCCATTGTTTTTCCAAATTCCCAGATGTATTCAGAAAACTAGTCAGGAAAGAGTGTATACACGGACGACACGGACGACCTGTTGCTTATGGTTTGTATCACACGAATCACTCAACATCGGAATCGGATCGACCAAATAGTATTGTAGCTAAACCTCCGCTTGACACTTGAAAAAGGCCACTGGAAGGCACCGTTGCGGAAGCTGGACCACCTAGGAGTCGATATCGGTATGACGGCCGGCCAGTACCGACTAACACAAGCCATTGAACAAACTGACACTCGAATCTTCTAACATCTAACAACGCCTATTGCCCAAGCAGCGGTATGTCAGCCTGGAAGCTTGGTACCGCTACTTCGGATTAATACAGTGACCAACGTTTGTAGTCCCTTCAGCACAACCCTACCTGGCTGGTCTCAGATGACAAGGCAAACCTTCAACACCTCTACAACCCACGACAGCGCAGTTAGGATCCAGAATTTGTTTGTCAGGAGCAGCATTTCGCAAACTTGAGAAACTGACATACGCCCTCTAGAACCGTCGACCTCGAGATATATTTCTTCAATACCCAAAGTGCACACAGTGTTGGGATCCTCACTATTCGGACATGATCCCTACAAGAATCCAGTTAGTCAATCAGTACGTACCATCGTACGATAAACGATGTCTCCAGCACCACTGGAGCAAACCCCTGCTAAAACCACACATACCAGTTCTAATACTAGCGGATTCGACAACAGCGCTCGCGGCTCTACTCCGCAGACAGTCCTCCAACTATTTACTGAATTAAACTCCTTACCCTGACATCGACGGTATACCGACTTTAAGCCTTGTGGCCGACAGATCTGATATACTGGGGACCCTCAAATGCGCCGCGGATCGGTTGTCCCTCAAAGAGAAGCTATTGAAATACAAATAAAGCTGGACACTGGGCCCACTGGAGGCACGTCGGCTACACGAACAAAAAAGTGTGCATATTGATGCCTCCAAGTCTATGATGTCAAAATCCTCCTTCGGTTGAAGGTACAACACACATCTACAGTGATATTTGCATCACTGTGGCCTAAAGTGCATTAATGGCCACTGCTAGTATAGTTTGCACTCGACATGCATATGCTAGAGTCTGGCGAGGTTCACTATCCCGCAGACGTGGTCATTCTCATCGACCCGCATACTTAGCGGGGATCGATATATTCTCATTTCAGTATCGGCTTAATTTGAACCGCATTACAGCTAGTACCGCACGACAATAGTATGTGGAGATCGATCGCTGCAAACGGTCACACGTGAAGGCACCATCAAATACCTGGTTTACCATATGCTCAAATGACACATGAAGCTACAACGAACTCACATTGTAAGCTCAGTGATGATTAAACAAAGCAAAGCACTTGCAGGTGACACCAAGACTTCATATGGTAACCTCTCAATTGACATGTGGAATGGACTTAAAACGGCATACAAGTCTATCTATACCTTAGAGGGACGCGTTCAGCCAGACAAAGTGCTCTGACTAGAATACTCTGGTTGGGTATATGCAGTCTTCTGGAGTACCAAGCGTACTTCTTTTTGGTAGGACCCCGGATCTCTTCGAATAACAAATTCAGTCCAATCCACATCATATTCAGTCCAGTAGATGAAATGGTACAAACTATTTTGTAAGTCGCAAGCGACACAACCGATCGAGCAATGATTTCGCTGCACACGGACGACCAGCAAAGCAGAAATTTCCAACACTCTGTCACAGCACCTATTGCCAGCATTACAATCCATCGTTTGCGAGTATTTAATGTTGACATAAATTCAGTACAGCCGACGGATGATGATCGCGACGACATTTGTGGCACACCAACCCAGAACGCCCGCTTTTAGACCGACCTAAAGATCCTCCGCTGGTATCCCATTCCAACTGGTCACACCTCTAGCAACACATTCCTTTCGACGAGGGTTTGTAGCCAGCGCCCTATCGGTCGACACATCACAGTATGTGTTCAATACCGTATACTGAACAAAGTCATGTGCGGACTATTATACCCACACAAGCGGAAAGCTCCTTAAACGAGAACGTCGCACCCTAAGACTCTGCGGTGTTTGGAAGAACAACACATAAATGGCTGCAGATTGAAATCTGCTATTTATGTTTAATCATCTTGTTTTGGAACGACGTCAATAGAGTAAGATTACCACTGATCGTACTACCAACACTGATGATACTATCACTGGTTGTGAAAATCAAGACTCTTGGTCACTCCTTCTCAAGACTCTTCTCTTGTTTTTCTACATGGTATAAAGCGAGAGAACAGAAGGACCTTCGAACCATTTATTCTCCTCACGTCCAACCCGCCTCACTCTCTTTCATCTGTTCTCCTCACGCACATCTTGAAGGTATCTGAAGAAGTTTCAAGACAACTTTACTCGTGAGTAGAAGACAACACACAGAATCAAAGGGCATTTATATAGGTATATACTACAGTTTAAACAGTTGGGTACAGAAGTCACGTATCTTACTCAGGTCACTAACAGTATTGTTGGTAGCCTTAGAGTTGGTAAAGTCTAATATTACACAATTAAAACAACATGAATACTCATGTGCACAGTCATGCTCTGCGCCTGGGCCCCCGCCGTCCCGGGCCTGTGGCGGCCCTACCGGCCTGTCCTTTAAACTAAAACCATACTCTAATAAAGTCAATTCACGCGTCCCAAGTATTTTAAATATATTACAAGGTATACTCCGCCCCTTGATTGCTTGAAATTTGAATGTATCACATTTCAAAACATATCATAAGTATCACCATATATAAAGTACCGCACAACGGTCAACGTGTGGCCGACTGGTCGCATTCCCAGATATTTTATATAATAAACCACAGATTGTCGACAGTCGTTGAACCAATCAGCAGCGTACAGATATAGGTCATTCCTACATACTTTGTAACATTCATTCATCTACAACTTTACTATAGATTGATAGATTTATGACAGCATTTCTCCACTAGAGTGGCGTGAAGATGGGAAAGGTGTGCTTAGGACCATACGGGCCACGGAGCCCGACGGACGATATGTCTAGTGTTTTGTCCGGACATCAATGAACTAGTTATGCGTAAACATGAATGAAAATTTCTAGGCTACTGCTAAAGCAGTCCAGGCTTTGGTAACTTTTATGGTACGTACGGCAAGGTTTATTAATAATAAAGATCTTCTTCGTGGTCACATGCCCTTCGCAGTTAAGTGTGTGAGGTTGTTTGGCTTGGGCGGACCGAGAAACTCGAATCCAGCAACTATACATATAAATATATCGTTTTGGTTAGCAGGCCGTATTACAGGCGCAATTTATCTTTAATCTCCTCGATGATACGGGATACTTTGTTGTCTGTGGCTAAACGAAAACTTTGGCCACACCACATGCTTATCAACGTGGGATCATTGTGTGCAATACAAAACTGCTTGAGCGGATTAGTCAGTGCCTGCTGAATTGGGTAAGGGGCCACATTGCTCTGTTCTCCGCGTATGCGCGTTATATCGACCGGCATATCTCCCTGAGTGATTCGGTCGAACTGCTGATTACTGTTGTGGGGTCGATATTGACTCACAAAGTCATTGCAAAAGCCTCTAGCGGCCTTTCCTGTAAATACGTCAGTGACAATTGTATCCGTTTCAGATCGATCTTTTCGTAGTATTTCTCGTTTATGTAGTGGCTGTGCTTCACTCTCGTTGCTGGTTAGAAACGCGGTACCAATCGCAGAGGCGCTCGCACCTGCAATTGGAATAAAGCATTTATAGCTATGAACAAGAAATCACGCGATTGCAGGCCCCACAGGGTTGAGTTTAAAACTGTACACCACAGACATATATCTTCAAAAACAAAGCTAATCACGAGATAGCGCCCGTATCTAGAATGCCATACCTAGTGCTCTTGCTGCTGTTACTCCGCGACCATCTGCGATGCCACCAGCTGCTATGACAGGAAGCGGGTAAACGGCATCCACAATTTGTGGAACTAGACTCATAGTACCGACAAGATGAATGCCGCGTAAGAACGAGCCTCTATGACCTCCAGCCTCTGCACCCTGTCGCACATTTGATAGATGTGGCATTAAGAAATACTCGGTAAACCTAGAGCTATCACAGCACTTCTCTTGAAGATGGATAACTTTCGCAGTCATCTTAATTAGTCGTGCAATTGCGATGGAGGCAAAGTATATCTTTTCCGCGCGAATGATTTGACATTACCTGCGCAAAGATCGCGTCCACACCATCCTGACGTAATAAAATCGCCTCCTCCACACTGGTGGCCGTTCCCATGACAACACAACCGCCATCTTGCAAACGTTTGATTTCTGAAGGCTTGACACGCCCAAAAACGAAAGTGACCACAGGAACCCCCTTATCAAGACACAAATCAACCTGCTCTTTATAACACGATGGTGTGACCTTGGGGGTTGGTACCACCACAGAGGCACCTTGCGCTCTCTGATAGAAGGGTAGCACGCTGACACGGGCACGTTCTATTTGTTGTGCTAATTCTAATTTCGAATACGCATCGTCTACACCTCCGTTTTCACCTTCCGGAGGTACCATTAAATTGACACCGAAGGCATGCTGGTGTTCTGGATCGTAAGATTTGTATGGCCGTTTTCCAAAGCTATAAATGAAGGTTATGTATATCTTACCTATTCAATGGTAACATACAAGAATATGACGTGCAAAAGTCCACCACCTGAGAGTATACGGGTACAAATCATACGCAAAAAAACATCACATAACTTAAAATATTAGTGACTCTTCACCCTCCCCAAAATAACAGAACACAATATATATAAATAAATATATATATTAATGCACACACATAAATACATATATTCATAGGTATATATGTGTATATATAGATAGGTATAATACATACATATATATATATATATATATATATATACTTA